ATTTTCCATTTTACGATATTCAAAAAAAAAAAAATTTCACGTAATAGTTATTCTTATTATTACGTATAATAATAATATTATTATTATTAATCAAATGTCGTATCAATTATTAACGTTAAATTTAATGTCGGAAAATAAATTTAAAACCCGATTACGTACATGATTTTGGTGGCGATACTAGGTGGGTCTTTTAATTATACTGTCGGGTTGAAACTGATATCAATTTAAAATCTCGACATCCGACAAATTCCAAACGACATATTCTAGATTTGAACTTTAACAGGAGTAAATGTGTGTGATAATTGGATAAATTTTTGCAGGCAAATTTGCTTACAAAAGTTCACGGTTTAAGGGATAATGATAAATTAAAAATCATGTAATATGCACATGCATTTTCGGCGCAGCAACCTGTGACCTAGATTTAACCCATGATATAGTAGTTTGGACAGGGCACGAGTAACAACGGTTAAACTGTTAAACGATCAAAAAAATCTTAGACGGTTCAATCTCTATTCAATATTGAAATATGAACGGTATAAATTATTTTGAGATAATAATTGTCAAGTAGCAAAATTAATTCTCAATGCTTTAAAACTGCTTGTTTCTAACGAACTTTGAGTTTTGACATCATACAGTTGTTTAATAAAGTTAAAACTAATTGATCAATTTAAATAAAAAGCTATATAATAGACATTATAGTGGCATTATATGAAACATGGCATTATGGCGTGGCATTACAACAAAATGACGAGATTGCAATATTAAATTAATACATATGTACGGTTTATAGCTTTTACTGTATTCCGAGGTTTTTAAATGTAATTAATTATGGCATATGCAATTTATATATGCATATTAGGTCAGGTAAATAATTTATTAATTATAAACATTTAGAAGTTGAAATATTATTTACTGATGCACCCCCGTTCCTGGTTTATAACGCAATTACATTGTGCAGTTACCTTAATAATTAAATGTACAACATCCTGACACGAAGCAGAAAAATGATCATACAGTTGCATCTCCCTAAATGCATCCTTTTGAGACAATAGTAAAAATTCGAACATATAGAGAGTAAAATTTATAGAGTTCTTATAAGTTGGGACCAGACTGTTTGTACTTAGGGGTGTGACTGTATCCAGTTTTGTGTATGAACAGTAAAAAAGTACTGTATTAATAATAATAATAAGCGGAATGTGTTAAAAAAATTTTTCTATACTATATGGACGTGAATGAAAGCTTTGTGATAAGGATAAATCGAGAATAAATCGATATGGATAGAAATGTTCACAAAGATTTCTGATGTACGTTTTTCGTTCAACTTTGCCAACTTTGACAACTTTGTCAAGTTTGTCAATCTTCAATAATTTACACTTTTAATCTTTGAACTGCTTTGGGACAGGAGGATCTACTAGTCAGCACTTTGCAGTAAATAATTTGTGTTCCCTGCGAGTGAATACAGTAAGTATGTGCAGTCGTACACTCTATTTACATAAATTTACAGAAACTTGCTGTAAATAATGTGACAAACGAAACAAATATAGAAGAGCAAATAATAGTACAGAGTACAAGACGGTAATCCACGTACGTCGTACATACGTAGTTCATAAAAAAAATAACGGTCATAATTTATCAAAGAATTACAAGACGAGATCATTAAAAATTTGAATTAATAACGAAAAACAATCAAAAAGTCTGCAAAGTCATATAAACAGTCGACAATATCATTTAAACAGTCTATATGTGCATTATTAAAAAAAATTTAAAGATTAAAATACATTGATAGAAAACTTCTATTGACACTATCGCAATTTAAAAGAAAAATTATTTCAAAATTAATGTATGTGAACTTTGTTACATCGAAAAATTATCTTTCAAACTAGTTCATTTACACTCAAGGTTCATATGATAAATAAATCTATATAAATTTGTTATCTTATACGTTGGCTCTTCTTTTTTTATAAATATATATATATTTACTAATAAAATATCTATCATATGGACGAAGAAAAAAAACTAATAACAGTAACTTGAATGAAACGATTTAGAATAAAAGCTCAAAAGACCATGATGCTATCAAACATTATTATATAGAGCGTATTATCTTTTTTTATCTTTTTTAGGATACGGACTATACGGTTAAATAGAGAGATGTGAACAAAAAAAAAATGTTTAAAAGTAAAAAAAAAAAAAAAAACTTTAAACAAATAAAACACGTCTATTATTAAAATACGAACAAAAATTTAATTAAATTAAAATAATAATCTCTCTTTCTCCTGTTAAAAAAAAAAAAAAAAGTTAAGAATTTAATTTAATACTGGATGGAAAAAGTTATCCATATCTATAGGTCGGTCTCTGAGATAATCAGAAAGTAAATTAATATAAGGAGGATGTGTATAATCTTCAAACCAAGAATCAACATATAGTGAATCTAGAACAGCTTTAGTATTTTTTAAGAAAAGATTCATCGCTCTTGCTCCAATGAATATCCATATATTAAGATGTTTTAAAGTAATAGGTAAATTTTTTCCTAATTCAGGCCAAATTTTTTCAAGATCATTTTCTTGTTTACCTAAAGAAAATAAACTAAGGGATTCTAATTTACATCCTGGAACATTTAAGATTTCTATCAATGAAGGAATTTCATCAGCACCAAGAGCAATACCAAATTTTTTCAATTTTGGTTGCCATTTAGTGATACTTTGTATAATAGAAGTAGATAAAATATCATGTTCCTCGTCTTCCCATGGTTGATAATGTACTTCAACCAAATCTATAGGATTTTTTTTAATTGCAGAAGCAATAAGATGACCCCAAAGAATTGAAGATTCCACGACTCTTGCTTTACGAAGATTAGGGAATTCAACATTTAAAATTTGATCCAATTGACAACCAGGACCATTAGTGCAACGACAAATATCTAATTCTTCAAGATTTGTACAAATAGTTAAAGCATGAATAGAAGAATCACCTGGGAAAGGAATTCCGTGAAGATTAAGAGAAACAAGGGTATCAGCTTGACTTGCAAGAGGAGTTAAAACGCTTGGAGAAAAACCATTAACGGTATCATAACACATAAGAGAGAAACTTCGTAATTTAGATTGAGAAAATATCAAAGAAGATAAATATTGTAAATCCTCAAAATTACGAAGACCAGCTTCTGACGACTTTATAACGGATAAATATTCAATATTTTCAGCTTGTTTAAGAAGTGGATCGAATAAAAAGTGATCAGAAGTGTAACGGATGGTTAAATTTTTAATATTTTGAAGAGATAAATCAATTCCCAAAGAATCATCCGCAGTAGGAGAAGAAAGTTTAGTTGGTCGATCCAATTTTAATGAAGTGATAGTAGATATGTTTCCAAAAAATAACCGACATAGAGAATAATATACCGAAAGAGCAGAATTATTAATTCCAGAAATACTATAATTATAAAAAATAATAATTTAATAATTTAATATAAGTGAATAATTTATTACAAAAATAATTGAATAATTGACATACCATTGAGAAGATATTGAACTACGTCTTTTCACTGATTGTCGCATAGTCCAATTTTGAACACTAGAGTAAAGACTTTCTAAACTAAGATTTGGAATAAAGGCAGCGTAATCAAAAGTTGGTGGTCTTTTAAGTTGAGAAGATAATTTAATACCATTTTGAACAAGAACCGATTTTTCATCATCAGAGAGACATGCGACAAGAATGTTTATTAGTGAAGGAGCAGGGGGAGTAGATCTTTTAAAAGGATGTGACCATAAATAAGGAATTGCGGTTTCACACCAAAGTCTGTTAACAAGAATGCAAGAGTGAAGAGATTTAATGTCATCTTTAAGAAGATTAAAAATGTCATATAGGCAATCCGCAGGAAGACGAGCGGAATGAGATTGTCGTTTTCGACCAAAAAATCGAAATAAAGATTTTTTACGTTGTAAGGAACTCATTTAATCGTAAAATTTTTTCTTTTTTTTTTTTTTTTGATCTTTTTAAAAAAATGTTCACCTCCTAAATTAATAATATCAGATTCAAAAGATAAAAAATAAAAATAAAAAATATCGATGATTAAAAAAATAAAAGAAATCAAGAAGAGAGGTAAAGTGTACGAGGGTCAAAACCAGTGACGATAAAACCAGTCTAACACGGGTTATTTTTCTGTGACCATTCATATAATTGTCATGAACCACAAATACATACTATAATATTAAACGCAGATGATCATCGAAACTGCTTAATGTTACACTACTCGTGAGTTAAAGATTCTTTGTCTTTAATACAAAATAAGCCAAGAATAAGCACCATTTATATAGTGATAAAGCAAGTAAATTAATTTTATAAATTTTACACTAATAATAATTGAGAATGTAGAGTTAAAAAAGAAATGACAAAGATAAAAAAAAAAAAAAAAAAACAATAATAATAAAAATACAGATAATCTCGAACTTCAAATTAACTAATTTCGTTAGAAAATTTTCCCTGAGAACACGGACCTACTTAGGATCACGAATGTCAAATTGCACCTGTCCTACATATAAAGGAAGAGTTGATTACTGTATGTTTTCGTTGTACTGCATTTTTGAACAACTTGAATTTAGGGACTACGTAACTAGATTAATTAAAATAAGCATGCAATTTTGCACAAATCATTTTTGAATTTACTATTCCAAAAAAGAACAAAATCCAGGAATTATTAATATCAAAAATTTTTAAATTACATTTTTATTAGCTCATCATGCTTATTCGTTTAGTACAGTACATATGAGAGTTAGTAATTGATTGTTTCCATAACATTATGAGAATCGATACTGTATACGTATAACATTTAGACACCTTAAAGTTTTTTTTTTCCATTATTCTTACTTCCTTTTGAGTTTATAAAAAAATCACATCGATATGGATCGCTAATAAAAATACGTAACGATAAAGCAATATGATTAAATAAGGAAAAGCATGCAAAAGTAATTCTTATCCAACAAGAAGGCAGATTTTTTCTGTTTATGAACCTATAATAAAAGTCATGAGGTCATATAACCGGTATGAAATGCATGTAAAATACAAATTGGTTGGATCTTCAGAGATAATACAAAGTAAATAATCACTGCAAAAAAAAGGAGACAGCATTTTGACAATTGCTTTAATTGATACAACAGTACAATAGGACTCGACATTTAACGAATATCATTTTTAAATATGGGTTTGCATTTTTTTTAATCCAATTTACTTGCTTTATTTTCTCTTTTGTAACTTAAATTTTTTTTACTGACAGCTACGTACGTAGAGTAGAATACTAATAGAGAAAACCTTAATTCTGATACAATAAACTTTAATTTGAAAATTGTTTGAAAGGAGTAACACAGCCAAGAAACCTATGTTAGTACGTATAATAATGATTTAATAATGGTTATCGTAGATTCTTCAATATATATAAATATATATATATATATAAAGTAATACGTATTAAAGATAAAAATTTATTAATACGTTGCGATAAAAAAAATATTTTTAGGAATTAGGTTTCATTGACCGATTAAACTTGTAACATAATTGAAACTTCATCGTTAGAGATGATAAATTAGAAATATTAGTAACCAATTGAAATAATATGGATAAATAATATCGGAACGATCGCTCCCTGTATACTAATACTAACCATATTGATATTAATTGACACAATAACCGTTTTAAATCTATACTAAAATTGGCGAATTAATAACTCCATTTATGCTCTTATTTTTATTTTTTTTTTGACCGAATATTGCTTCGTGTACGTACGTACGTAAAAAACCGATACTTATTTTTCTATATTCGAATGATATGAATAATAAATTTGATTACATTGATTGTTGTTAAAGTAAAAGGATTCTCAGTGCTTCCTATCACAATGTCTGATCGTAAATTTATGGTTTGGATGCAGAAATCGAATCCAGGGAATGATAATATCTTGTTGTAAAGATGCTATATTTAGTGAACTGGGTCCCAGAGTCCTGGAATGGATTTTTTAAGATTAAACTCACCTATGATGTTTGCTTAAGTTGTGCTGCTCACTTCATTGATAATCATTTCACCGACATTTATAGGGATGTTGCGGCCCGGTCTCGGACCGGTTTATTCCTTGAACTGCGGGTTGGACCGAAGGCTACAAACTGTTCTATTTGAAGCTCTCTGATTGTCTGCATCAATTCATATAATTTTTCTGCCAAGAAATCTGAACTTTGTTATATATTACATTCAGTTCTCAATAACTAATAAATAAGCAAATTAATTATATGTGTCGTGCTAAATTGAATAAATAAAAAAATATCAATGTACGTATTTTATGCATATATATATTCATATGTTAAATTTTTTTTTTTTGCGATAATACAATAATGAATGCACTCGTGTATGAGATTATTACAATATAGTGTTTACTATGTAGTATTTACTATGTAGTATTATTATTATACAGACCAATTTATAGACCGTTCAAAGTTATGAACCGATGACCGATTGGACCAGTTTATAAACTGGTTATAAACTCGGTCTTTGTTTCCTATTTAGTATTAGCCAATATCGCATAGCGAGGGTTAGATTTAGCATTTGAGTAACGTTATATATTATTTATAAATTGTCACTTGACGATCGTCGAAGGCGGAATTAAACTTTTAACTTAAAAATAAGGTTAGAATTCAATGAAAGTTTTGAGGCGTAAACCATTTTTCTTTAGAGCGCCACATCAATTAATATATATATATAGCGATAGGTGTAAAGCACGTATATAGAAATTTTTAATAAAGTCTTTATATATATATTTGGCAAGAGTCAACGGATCAAAGAGAACTAGCTATTAATAGGAAACTCGGAAACTAGACTCATTTTGTATGATATTTGGTCACTATTAAAGACTATCATTATGGTAATAGGAATTTACAACAAATAAAATTAAGTAATTAAAGATATGATAGAAACTTAAAGCATCGGAACAAACCATGTCATTCGCATTGATTTAAATTACGAAATATCGTATTTACTTTAGTCAACTTTCATAAGCCAACAACTTTATATAATTTTATATCGATTTATATACGACTATATAATTATTGCTACAAATCAATTTATTTTGATTGGTAATATCTTTTGAGAGGATTCATTATAAAAAAAAGGTTTCGCTAAAAGAACTTTTGAAGATAATAAAATTTATTATTACGTAGCAATTATATTTTTTTTTATTACGTAGTTATTACATTACATATAATTTATAAAAAATTACACTTCTATTGTTAGAGTTACACAACTAATTAAGGTTGCTAAGATAATAATTAAAGTTAACTCGTACGTACGTACGACTTTTGCCGTAACAATAACCGTCATATGTCGTAAAATTTCATTGGGGCGTTATTTCATATATAAATAATTGAAACTCGGTCTTTCAAAAACTCTTCAAGGTTAAATTAACTCGAAAGACCGACTTCAACCTAGTACCGCTGCTAAATCAGATACCGATAATATGATTATAAATTTCTTTTTTAATAATTTATTTTAAATACTTAGATTAATAAAAGTTTTTTTTTTTTTTTTATACACACAATAAGTGTTATAAAGTAAATGAAATTAAATAGCGAATATTCATAACTTGAATAATTTATTTTTAAATACTTCTACTAAAAAAATTCTTCATACTCAAAATTAATGTGAATAAAGTGAATTAATTAGTAAATATCCATGAATAGCTACTGTAATTTTAAATATTTGGATTAATAAATATTCTTTATACGCGTGAAATAACTTATTTCGAATAACTAGATTAATATGTTTTTTTATACTCGGCGAGTATAAAAAAAAATATTTTATTAATCTATATTTGAATTAATACGCATTTAATCGTTAGCACAAAGTTATTAGAGTAAATCAAGTTTATAGTCTTTATATGGTATAATCTCACATAAACTTAGCGAATAAATAGAAAAAAAAAATCATTTTTTATAATATATTATTAAATTCATGAAAATTTACTATGATATATACATTTATCTCATTCGTGGTGATATGAGATCTATTTCGTTTCTCTTAATTTGACCATTCGAAATCACAATTTCTATTTTTAAGCTCCTACCTATTTCGAAATATGTTAATACACACATCTAATACTTGTATAAAAATTTTAGAGTTTATTATTCGGATCTTTCGGAAGTTTCGGTTTCGCCCAGTTTCAGAGGGTTTCGTCAGTTTCGGATGTTTCACCAGTTCCAGAGGTTTCGGAAGTTTCGGTCTGGAGAAACTAGGTTTCGGGGTTTCGGAAGTATAACTACCGTAGGATATAAAAATGAGTTCGTGTTACAAAATCCAACGATAGTTAACAAAATAATTATCATGTTGATTATGCTTAATAGGAAAACGATATCAACTACGTATAATTTTTTATTATTAGGATCGGGAGTTATATTATATAGGGAATTAAAGATATTATTTGAATTAATCCATATCGACGGATTTGCGGAATGGATCTAAATTAGGGTTCCTGGATTTAACAATTGCAGAATGCATTATAGCTGAAATTTTAGGGGTTTTACAATCGCATTTTTAAAATATGTGGACCAGTGTTGGAAATCCGTTTTGAGATTTTTGTTCTCATGAGAACAAATTTATTTAATTTAATGTTCTCAAAGTTTTATTTATGTTCTCAAAATTAAAATTTATTTATATCCCTATTTTTTTAAATTTCTTATTTGGGAAATACAGTATCAGTCATTTACTCAAATATTTATTCCAACCCTTCTCGTATTTTATGTTCATTCATTTCCTTTTGGATGATTTCGGAATTTCGTTCGATTTCTAATTTTATTTCCATTTATATAATACTTATAGAGAACATATTTTTCGATTATGCTCTAAATTTTTTTTCATAGAGAACATTTACACAATATCAAATGTTCTCAAATCTAAAGCTATGTTCTCATGAGAACATGAG